CATATATAGGATCCAAATATATATATACAAATACATCCTTATTATGTTCTCACACTTCTCAATGTTATTCGTATTATGTTCTCATACTTCTGTTTGTTCTGGAAACGTAGGAGAGACGATTCGTCGTTTGTGGTGGAAGACGATGTGTTCTTTACGGGCAAATTCGGCGAGAAAGGTAACACAACCACATGTTGTAGGGTTTTAGGTAAAGGTAATATATATATATATATATATATATTATTAGTATTGTATACATGACGTAGCTTTTTACAATACAATGATACTTACGTGATACTAAAACTCTAACCTCTATACATTGCATTGACACGTGCAACCATACCTTCTCAGGGGAGGTCAGTATGAAGTGGGACTTTAACGGCACATCCGGCACTCATAAGGACGACATAGTCATCACAGGCTCTCGTGGTAAGATGTACCTCTCCTGCTTCAATTACACACCCATCTGCGTCGAATACACCACCGTACGGGACCTCGAGTCCATCCGCGAACGCGTGCAAAGCAAGGAGGAGCATGTATTCGAACGTCCTGAGCACGCACACCAGGGGTTGGTGCAGCTCATATGCAACGAGCTCAGGGGCGGGGAGGCCAGCCCCAGCACGGGAGAGAGTGCGATACGAGTGGCCGATATTATGGACGATGTTTTGAATGAGTTCTATGACGGGAAGCGACGAGAAGCGTTTTGGGAATAGACGGATGGATAGGGGAAGGTGACTAAGCTCAATACACCACAGGGTTATATATATGCACTACTGTTTGAGCACATGATCACTTGTAGCTAAGCTTGTAGGCTTGTTCTGATTCGGGACACCCTGTGGCCCTAGGTTGTACTTGAGGGCAGCCCCTGCACAGGACCACAGCACAGCCAATGGGACATATGCTTGTAACGAGCACGTGTAACTCGCAGAGGTATTCACACTGAACGTACCGTAAGGCTATGGCGGATATGAGCCAAGGCAACGAATGAAGCAACGCGTACTGGACTTAAAACTTAGTAACGCATCGCTGCTATGTATCGCAGTAGGGGCAATGTAGGCTTAAACGTATTAATGCAATACCAAAATTGAGTATCTTTTAGGCGTAGACAGAATAAATTACTACCGCTATTTTTCATGAAAGCCAGCAGACGAAGGAACAGATACCGGGTCAAAATAACAGAAAAAATACGGCAATATATCGTAGTTGTCTTTTTAAGGACCTAAAACAAAAAAAGTAGTAATGCCGTGTATCATAGTAGAGGCATTATAGGCATATACGTAAAAGCATTACTGCTATATATACATACATCCGTACATACATCCGTACATACATCCATTGTATATATATATATATATATATATATATATTTATATATATATGTGTGTGTGTATGTTCTTCATTCGATTCTATGTACAAGTGGTTTTCGCAGTAAAGCTGCTATGGTCTAAATCGGTAGAGAACCTCTTTCGGGCATTAACGTGTATAAGAATCTATCTACAAACATAAAAACTCCTGCACACAAAATCAATATGTTACACTTATAAATAGAGACGACCTGTTCAATAATAATTTCTAGTCTGCGGTATAGGGGGAATATATGCGTACATCTTTTTTTTTTGCAACTTCACCCAACTGTCTGTACAGTGTACCTCAGTGAATCCTGAACACTGACTATATCAGAATTTTTTTGCGAGTCGACCTGTACTATAACATACATATGAACATAGCCATAGACACCAGTATAGAGGCATAAATATATTGATGGATATTGATCGATATATATATATATATATATATATATATATTAATATATTAATATATATACATACATATATATATACACAAATATCTATACGTTCACATATACACATTACATTTATTGTTCCTGTTCGATCGTTTCGCGTGTTCGGAGTTCTATGAGATATTCGCCCAAAATACCTACTACGGAGTTCTCTATGAGCTGTACGGTGTCCATTTGGTTGTTGTTGAAGTGTCCATGCCAATCGTCTGCAGGAACCTTCGGGAACCGTTCATGCACACACTCACCAATGGTCCTCTGAAAGTAACCAAAAGACATTAGATTCAGTTCTTCTATTAGATATATAGATATATAGATATAATATATGTACATATACATCTACATATACATACACGCACGCACACACACACACAAACACACACACACATATGTATATACATACATATATATATATATACTTATATATATATATATATATATGTATATATATTTAAATAATAAATATTATT